TTAATGAAAATACTTGATTTTAAGAAGAAAAAACTTGAGATATTGTCTGAATAGCTTATACTGTTAAATTGGAAGTGAAGATCAGTTTTCTTTCTCTGTTTACAAAGTTAGTAATCTGCAGCTTATTTTTTCTAGCAGTTTATCGGTGAAATTACTTTTAGAAGGAAACCTTCCACCCCCTTCCTGCCATTCTTTGGACAGAGTAGAGGATGGGAGACGGACGGGAGAAGGAAAGGGTCCTGGGGGGTGCGGCCCTCAGTCACACATTTGAATTTATGATAGTAACCATTTTATTTTTTATTTCAAATACTTTGCCAAAGCCTCAGTTTACTGAATTGCTTTAATTTAGGAGAATATTGTGATGTCTGATATTTTCACTTTTGCTTTATATGTTCTGTTTTTTTCTTATCTTCTGAGTATGATAATGCTGGTTTGTTCAGGCACTGAAATTGGCTTGCAGGAAAACATTTAATGTGGGATTCTGTGTGCAAGCCCTTTCTTCTTTGTTTATCCTGCAGCAAAGGTGTTAGTTTCAAAATGGTTTGTCCAAATTCCGAGTTCCCATAAAACATGTAACAGATTACCCAGATGGCAAATGATGATACATCCATTGTAAATATGAGTATTTCCTTTGGGCCAGATGGTGATTTAATGTGAATTGTCCAACATTTATGTTTCTTATTAAATTGTCTTTTGTCTAAGCCAAGCCAGTAACATAATTTGAAACACACTCAAGGAATCACTAAGGGACAACAACAACAAGAACTCAGACACTGAGTAGCCGCGGCATTTGCTCCATGTGGCATGTGAAGGCTCCTAGCCAGAGCCTGCCTTGCCCTCGAAAACTTTCACATCTTAAAGAAATACCTGCCAGGATGCTGTGCAAACCATGCCCCCCTTTCCTCTCCCTCCCCAAACCCTTATCTGCCAATGTGCAGTGGGGCAGCTTTCCTCCCTGGGGCCTTGGCGCGGGTAAGGCGGCCGTACTTCCTCCCTGCCCGGGATTTGTGCGCAGCAGAGCAGTTTTAGTTCTTCCTTACGCACTTCCTCTCCCCACTGACCACTGTCATGGTGTTTGCTGTGTGCTCCACCCGGGCCGTTTCCTCCTAGCTGGTGCTCAGCCTTGCAGGGATGGGTCATCTGTGGAACAAGTCATGCGCCCAGTCACAGGGCTCCTGACAGGAAACGCTCACGGCCTGCTAGTGTTAGGTTAGCACAGGACAAACGCAGCCCTGAGCCTGTGGGGCTTCCCAGCTCTGAGTCTTGGGTGGACAAACTGTTCTCATTTTGTTTTTAATTTTATTTATCTATTTTTAGAGAGAGGGGAAGGGAGGGAGAAAGAGAGGGAGAGAAACATTGATGTGAGACAGACACATTGATTGGTTGCCCCTCACATGCACCCTGACCAGGGATTGAACCTGCAGCCCAGGCATGTGCCCTGACTGGGATCCGAACCAGCAACCTTTCACTTTGTGGGATGATGCCTAACCAACTGACCCTACTGGTCAGGTGAAACTGTTCTCATTTTACACGTAAAGTTTTGAGTATTTCATACAGTATCAAATCCCTGCAGGTTTTTCCTTTTGAAACTTAGGTGAAAATCTGAGAGTAACAGAGTATTATATATTAAGGCCACAATAAGAAACGCATTGTTACTGCAATCTAAATTTGATCAAAACAACTGTTTTAAAAACGTTTTAAAGCCTAAGTTTTCTTTCAGAGACTTCTCACAGCAAGAATAAACATTGCATAAAAATAAGCAAAAACACAGAGGGAGACTCTGAGAACATGTGGAAGCCTGTTTGGGGCCATTATGATCTCAGCGAAGGCTGCGTGCGCAGCCTGCATGAACAGTTAGATGTCACTTGGAACATCTTTTGATGGCATTGTTGGTGGAGACCGTAAGCTAGGGCTGCAGGAGTGCTCCGTCCTGCAGGTCCCCCATTGTTTCAGATCAGATAACGACATAATCAGATATTCAGCTCAAGAGCTGACCCAAATGGTGCTGCACGGTTTCTCTTCCCTGTTCGCTGATAAGGATTCATCAAGATGTCTTTTTCTGACAGTGTTATGGGAAAATTTTAAAAATCGAATTGATTTGGAGCTGTGCATTGAAGGGTAGTCATGTCAGGAATTGAGTAGCAATTGAATGCGTTTCTGTCTGGGTGTGTACATAAAAGTGTATGTTATTTATTTCTTACAGGACATGTTGCACATGCCTTGTAGTTGATTTCAGACTGTCCCTAAGGAACACAAAGCTTCATTGCCTTATTTCGAGCTCCCACCGTAGTTAGGTCTGTGACTTCATTGTTATTCAGTGGCCTGGAGTTTGGTCTGTTACAGCTAGTGGTAGGATCCGCCAATGTCAGCATGTGTAACAGTGTCTGCATATGCTTTGCCTTTATAGAGAGTTCTTTCACGTGTCTCTTTTGATCCACCAACACCTGTATGATTAGGGGTAGGTTGGAATAATATATTAAATTTATAGCTAAACCATCTGAAACCACTCAAGGCATCTCATCCGGTGGGGAGGAAAGGGAGGGGGGAAAAAACCAGTTATATCAACTCTTGGTGTGATTGCCACAGATAATTTTAGAGTAAACTACATTCAAAATTTTCCTCCAACCACTCTAGGGATACTCTGGAATGGTCAGATTTGTGGGCAGTTGTTTCCAACATAAACTGCTTCAGTGCTGTTTCAGTTCTTTCATGAAAAAGTCAAAATTGGACACTAGTTCTTATCCTGGAATCTCATAACAAGAAGCCCCAGGCCTAGGCATTCTAGGGCCGGGGGGGTGGGGTGGGGGAGGAGGGATGTGTCAGAGTGGCCCCCAGGGGCTGGGTAAGTATTTGGGTTTCTCTTTTATTGATCTTCTGAATAGCTCAGTGCACATTCTGCAACAGTTGTTGAGATAGGTAGGAAGGGCACTGCCTATTTTACAGAGACTAGAGTTCAGTTGAGATGGCAAAATCACGCATTGATTTTTAGTGCTAGCATTTAATAGATGTGAGTATACTGAACACCTACCTCCTCAATGCCTTGGTCAGATAACTCCAGTCTGGAAAAATTTCTAGGAAAGATACTCTGCTGCATCTACATTCACCAAGAAGATACAGCCCAACCTAATCTCAATGTTAAAGTAGATTTCTCTATACCTGGGCCTTTGTTTTTCCCAGGACCTTTGAGTGAACATGCCCATTACAGTGGAAACAAATCATTTAACAATGGAAGCTATTCTCATGATTTATTTTAATGGGCGGCCCCCACCCCCTGAGAAGATAGCCATGAATGCTGCTTCATTGCTTGTTTCGTTGCTTGTAGCCAGGAAAATGACCCCGGTGACATGTGCTTAATCCAGCCTTCTGTAAACTGGCCACTTCACACCACACCACCAAGATGTCCAGGCGAGGTATCGAGACAGTGGATTGATTTTACTTCCTGCCTGATTTAGGAAACAGTGGTCAGTGATCAGATTTTACATGTCTAGTGCGGACGAGTGGTTCAAAGAGCCTGAGTCAGTCCCTGGCTGAAGCTGCCTAGGGACTTGTCCCTGTCCAGCCACTTCCTTCCTAGTGGTCTCCCGTCTCACTAATCCTCATTGTTCCTACATGTAAAATAGGGATATATGTGATCTTTATGTGGTTGTTTTGAGTATTAGTTTGCACATGCAGAGTACTTAGAACAATGTGTGCCATACAGAAAGCTCTTAATAGTTGTTGCTTTATACACAGGTTTACCCTAGCCAGTTCTGAAGAGCTCCAGGTGCCACTTTAACGCTACCTACCCTGTGTGCTTTGTACTACGTATTGTACTGTCCAGGGCTAGAGTGATGACGACCTCCCCTCAGCAGCTTTCCTACGATTCCAGCGCCAACTCCCAGTCATGGCGAGGGGTGGTCTCTGCCACCCAGCTGGCTGTGCTGCTCTAGGCTGGGTGGCCTGCTCCTCTTTCGTTGGGTAAAAATAGCCTGGCTCCTCACTGAAGCCACAGGCATGTTATTTTTGTCCTTGGAAGGCAGAACTTCACAGAGTTCTAGACATACTGAGCCAGCCTGGTGCTGCCAGCCATCAGCAGAACTGAAATACAAAGTGCGATGCTATGCACAAATTGTAAAACAGGTCTAGCCTTCTTATATACGAGTAAACCAAAATAACTATTCGCTCATTGTGGGGTTCTCCCGATACCTCAAAACTTAGTGTCGTCTGTCCTTCCCTGGAACTGCATGTGCGTGTGTTTAAGGGCTATTACGACTTCCTGGGAGCAAACCCAGTGGGCACTGCCCCTTCCCCAGCTGTTTGGGTAGACAACAGGCAGCCCCCACGTGGCCCATATCACAAGATTACTGTCAGCTAAGACGTTACCCATTTGTTCATGCTTCAGAAGATAAAACTCAGGTCAAGGTGAAACTGTTTTAATAAGTGAGCCATAGAATAGCAAGAAATGAGAAGGAAAAGATAAGCCAATGTAGGAAGAACCAGAGAATCGGTGTTGTTTCACAACTGCTAGACTGACGGTTTAACTTGGGTTTTTCCCCCTCCTCTGTAAACTGGATTTGCTGAGCAGGTTCAGAAAAAAATTCTACATGTTCAATCATGATTTCCAAATCCTATTTCTCATAATGAACCAGTGGCCTGGAGTGCTTGCTCTAATTTCTCTATTCCATTAAACAAGTGTGGGATTTCTTTTAATTCAGGAACTTGAATGTACAACATCTGTTAACTTTGCTCTTTCATGACCTCTACCATCATTAATAATCCGAATAATAAAGGACTAGAATGGATGGCTGTGTTTGTAGGTTATTTGTTGTTTTTTAAACAAATAAGTTCTATGAGTGGTTAACTATGCCCTTCCGGAATGGTGGGTCCCCTTCAGATTTTGTTTATAATCTCCCCCCACCCCGCCTCCAGCAACAATGGTATAAGGTGAATTCTGTGGTATCTGCCAATGTAAAACCATCTTATCCATGGTCTCTGTTCTTCCTTTTTTCTTTTGAACATAGGACATGGATTTGATTGACATACTTTGGAGGCAAGATATAGATCTGGGGGTGAGCCGAGAAGTATTTGACTTCAGCCAACGACGGAAGGAGCATGAGCTTGAAAAACAGAAAAAACTTGAAAAGGAAAGACAAGAACAACTCCAAAAGGAGCAAGAGAAAGCCTTTTTCGCTCAGTTACAACTAGATGAAGAGACGGGTGAATTCCTCCCAATTCAGCCAGCCCAGCATATCCCATCAGAAACCAGTGGGCCTGCCAGCTACTCCCAGGTACGGGGCATTCAGCTCTTGGGAAGCAAAGAACATTGATCCAGGATTTGGAACATCTGGATTTGAGTCCCAGCTGTGCCTTTTCCTGTGGCGTCATGACCATGTCCAGTCACTCCCAACTTTGGCCTCCTGATGAGTTCAATACCTGACTGACCAACGTCACAGTTATAAGGATTAGGAGGACACACATTACAGGAAAGGGCTTTGTAAGCTATAGAAACAACACAGGAGGATCAGACAGCAGCAGTGGTGGTCAGAGCAGTGGAACCAGTTATAGGGATTACTTTGGCACCGACAGTGACAGGCACTGTGACTGTTTTCAGACCCTTGACATATAGACTGATCAGTCAAAGCAGCACTTATCTAAATTAGGTGTCATTATCCCCATTTACCTATAGATGAGCAGTTGAAGCTCAGTGAGGTTAAATAACTTGCCCAGAGCATTCAAGAAATGGGGGAGCCAATTTGCACCCAGTCTGGTTCGATTGTGCTCTGAACTATGACAGTAAACTAATTTCTAAATTAAGAAATGTTTGATTAACAAGATTTTAGGAACCTCATCCATAAACCTTTGGCTCAGGAATGGAACATTAAACAGTTTTTTTTACTTTTTGTGTTTCCCTTTACCCAGGCTGTACACATTCCCAAACCAGATGCCCTGTGCTTCGATGACTGCATGCAGCTCCTGGCAGAGACATTCCCATTCGTAGACGACAATGAGGTACTGCACTCGGTTCACAACAGAACTCCACAGCTCCATCTAGTATATCCTACATGTGTCCCCTTAATGTCTCTCCATTAAAAAAAAGAATGAAAGCATTTTAGGAGGAAATTTGTTAATGGAACCTTAGCCTAAACGTAAGTTCACAGACCCAACGCAATACAAAACTGAGGATGTTCACTGCTGTGCAGCTGGAAGCACAGGTCAGCTTAACCATAGAAACTAGCAGTTGCTGATGAGCAGAGCAAGCAGGGTACTACACCAGAACTTGTTCAAGTAACAATTTTAGTAAACCTGTTGTGCTTGAAGCACTATATAGTATTCTATTAAAAGATACAGATTAAATCCTAAAGATTATTCTTACCCATTTCAAGTTTGCCTTCAAGTGTATAAGATAAAACAAAACAGAAGTAAATTTTGAGTCAGTTGGGTAAAAAAAAAAGATATTTCTTATGTAGACTTAGGGGCCGTAAGTAATCAAAAGCAGAATGCAGAGCTGCAGCCAGGTCAGCGTCAGGAGCTGTGGTGGTGCGTGCCGTGGAGGGCACTCATCCACTGCCGGTGGCGGACTCACGCAGGTCAATGCCTTGTCAATTTTAGGTTTCTTCGGCTGCGTTTCAATCGCTTGTTCCTGAAGCTCCCAGCCTCGTGGAGAGCCCAGTCTTTATTGCTCCTAATCAGAATCAGTCACCCGAACCCCTTATCCTTCAGCTGATCAGCGATTTAGATAATATGCAGCAGGACACTGAGCAAGTCTGGGAGGAACTATTATCCATTCCAGAATTACAGGTAACTAAGATCTAATACCATAAATACCAAAGACGCTATTTTATATTCAGTGCCTTGAAATTAGTCATTCTGGTTATCTATTATTTACATGCCACCTATTTGTAGGAAGGGTTAGAGGGTGCTTTCAAACCAGTCAGGAGAGCTGCCCAAGCTCACTAAAATGCCACTTTGTGAAAGAGGCCAGATGGCTTGAAGTTGGTCTAGAAACTCTGAAAATAATGCAGACGCTTGGTATAAACATCTGTTGGAAATGGAGTTCTCTCTGAATTAGAGAAGAAAGCAGCTTGGAGGAAAATGGGAGTGGGGACTTTTACTCAGGTATAGATGATCAGTTATGGAAAATATTTACACTTGATTGACATAGTATAAACTTCTTTTCCATGCAGTGTCTTAATATTCAGAACGACAAACTGGTTGAGCCTAGCACAGTTCCAAGTCCAGAAACCAAACAGGCAGATGCTGACAACAGTTACCATTTCTACTCATTGACCCCTTCACTGGAGAAAGAAGTAAGTAACTGCGGTCCACATTTTCTCAGTGGTTTTGAGGATTCCTTCAGCAGCAGCATCCTCTCCACAGAAGACCCCAGTCAGTTGACAGTGAACTCATTAAATGCAAACGTCACAGTAAACACAGATTTTGGTGATGAATTTTATTCTGCCTTCATAGCAGAGCCCAGTAACAGCAGCAGCATGCCCCCCTCTGCTACTTTCAGCCAGTCACTCTCTGAACTGCTCAACGGGCCCATCGATGTTTCTGATCTGTTACTTTGTAAAGCCTTCAATCAAAACCACCCTGAAAGCACGGAATTCAATGATTCTGACTCTGGCATTTCACTGAACACAAGCCCCAGCTTGGCATCACCAGAACACTCAGTAGAGTCTTCTATCTATGGAGACACACCACTTGGTTTCAGTGATTCTGAAATGGAGGAGATAGATAGTGCCCCCGCAAGTGTCAAACACAGTGGTCCTAAAACACAGCCAGTACAGCCTTCCGGGGATATAGTTCAACCCCTGTCACCATCTCAGGGGCACAGTGCTCCAACGCATGATGCCCAATGTGAAAACACACAAAAGAAAGAATTGCCTATAAGTCCTGGTCATCGCAAAACCCCTTTCACAAAAGACAAACATTCAAACCGCTTGGAGGCTCATCTCACAAGAGATGAACTAAGGGCAAAAGCTCTCCATATCCCATTCCCTGTAGAAAAAATCATTAACCTTCCTGTTGATGACTTCAATGAAATGATGTCCAAGGAGCAATTCAATGAGGCTCAACTTGCATTAATTCGAGATATACGTAGGCGGGGTAAGAATAAAGTGGCTGCTCAGAATTGCAGAAAAAGAAAACTGGAAAATATAGTGGAACTGGAGCAAGATTTGGATCATTTAAAAGATGAAAAAGAAAAATTGCTCAAAGAAAAAGGGGAAAATGACAAGAACCTCCATCTACTGAAAAAACAACTCAGCACGTTATATCTTGAAGTCTTCAGCATGCTACGAGATGAAGATGGAAAACCTTACTCCCCCAGTGAATACTCCCTGCAGCAAACGAGAGATGGCAATGTATTCCTTGTTCCCAAGAGCAAGAGGCCAGATGTTAAGAAAAACTAGGTGTGGGAAGATCTGACCTTTTCTGAGCTAGTTGTGTGTGTGTGTGTGTGTGTGTACTGTTATGTATACTAAAAGCTCCTACTGTGATGTGAAATGCAGAAATACTTTATAATTCTATGCAAAATTATAGTCAAAACTAATGTAGAATATAAAATTTTAAAAGCATTAAATGTTATCAGTATGCTGAAATCAGTTTTACTTTAACTGCAAACTTAATTTCTTAGAGCACCATTTGAGAGAGTTTCTGTACACATGTAAATACTACAAAAACTTATACTGTTCTTATCTCATTTGTTACATTCATAGATTTATATGTTTTGACATTTGGCTAAAAGCAAATTGTTGCAAAACTAACCACTATGTACTTTTTTATAAATGTTATATGAACAAAGAAATGGCCTTTTTTATATTAAATTGTTTAGCTCTGGCAAAAAAAAATTCAGTTGAAAAGCTGGTACTAATAAATATTATGATTGTTAAATTTCTTGTAATTCCTTTGAGTTTATTCACAGTATTTTCAATGACATTTAATACATTTAGGTGTTTTGCATTTTCAGAATGTTTTCTCAGAGATACAGAAAACTGAAGTATGTCAAAAAGATATTTTATTACTTCAATAGCAGGCACATTTCAACCAAGGAAAATGGTCTATCTTGACATGAAAAGTATGTGCTAAGCATTGTTTAAAGTACAGAGGACAGCCCTGGCTGGTGTGGCTCAGTGGGTTGAGTGCTGGCCTGCGAACCAGAACATCACAGGTTCAATTCCCAGTCGGGGCACATGCCTGGGTTGTGGGCCAGGTCCCCATTTGGCAGCATGTGAGAGGCAGCCAGTCAATGTATCTGATGCTTCTCTCCTTCTCCCTCCTTCCCCCCTCCTCTCTAAAATAAATAAAATCTTAAAGTTAAAAGGACAAAATGGAAACCCTGTTCTCCTGAAACTAATGGACAAAGGCAGCAAATGTACTATACTATGCCAGAAAGGATTGGGAAGATCAGCAAGTCATTGCGACTTAAAATAGGGTTGTAAATAGGAAAACCTTATTGAGATGGCAGTGTTTGAAGGTGTGGGAAACCCATCCTATTAGCTAAAAAGAATATTTTACCCAGGACACAGCAAGTCCAAAGTCTCTGAGGCTTGCTTGAGAAAAATACTCTATATATGGCTGACAATAGAGGGGAAGAAAAGGTGTCAAGTAGAAGTAACATCTGATTTTTAAAAGTCTATCCTGTCTTGTGTGTTGAGAATAGTCTTGAGCACAGGTGGCAATAGACAAGGACTGAAGGCGGATAAATCCAGCTCTCCACCTTGTTTCTACCCAGCGGCAGCGCTGAGCTCTCACTTAGCTGTTAAGTAGTTACATTTATACAGTCCTAAAATTGACCCTTTGAAGGCAACCAAGAGGCTGATATGGCCGCCAGTGAAAATGAGTTTGACAACCCTGGTCTAGAGAGTAAAGGTGGGAGCAGGGAGACCAATGGGGAGGCTCTGCAAATACTGACATGAAATATTTAGTTGAAAATATGAAATATGGTGTCTAGATCTAGGGTGATACTGAGAAGGCATTGAATCCTACATTTCAAAGGTAAAACTAAATGCATTTTCTGACAGATTCTATGTGGGGTGAAGGTGGAATCAAGGACTTGAGCATCTTTAAGAACTGAGTTGCCCAGAGATGGAGACTAGTTAGAGGGAGATCTAGGTGAGAAAAATCAGCTCTCTTAAAATCAGTATAATCTTGCCCTGGCTGGTTTGGCTTAGTGGATTCTGCACCAGCCTGCAAACTGAAAAATATCAAGTACAAAATCAAGGCCCCCTCAAAACTCTGAAAATCTTTCTGCTGCCAAATAAACCATTCACGGCATCGATTCATTATTTCCTCACCTAAGCCAATGTGTCCAGGTTGGTTTTGTTTTCAAGTGGAGAAATGATTTGAGGGTTAAGCAGGTTTAGAATAAGCACTAGGTGCAAACTATTCAGAGCACACTATCAACCCATGAGGAAAAATGTCACGCAGAAGTCCACAGGCCCTAGAGCCAGATGACCTGGGCCTGCTGCTGCCATTCCAGAATGACCTCCAGCACCTCAAAGCAGTCAAGCTTGTTTCCTCACCTGTAAGCAGGCGTGTCCAACCTGTGGCCCAGGATGGCTATGAATTCAGACAAACACAAGTTATTAAGTTTACATGAAACAAAATTTTTGGTAACTACATGTCACAATGTCATTTAATGTGTGGCCCAGAAATGCCAAAAGGTTGGACACCTGGACTGTAGAGGATACTACTGAGCCTAAGCATTCTACAAATGGGCATGTTCTCATTTTCTTTAGCCTTGTATGAGGATGCTTTCTGGTTGCAAGCGAAAAAAGTGAAGTCCAATTAGCTTAACTGAACTTGGTTTTAATGACTGGGAAGCTCAGGCTGAAAATGACTTAAAAGATCTAGGCATTCAAATGTGAAGGTTGTGCCGACTTTCCTTGTGTGGTTAAGAATTTCCTGCCCAAAAGCAACGGAACAAAAAAAAATAAAAATAATTTTTTCCTGTAGTGGTGGTGATGACATCCCTGCAGACGACTTTTCCAACCTCCAGAGACAAAAATTTCGTATCTTGAATGAAGTACCCTACCCCACCCTAAACAAAATTGTGGGTGGGGGTCGGGGGATGGTGGCCCTTCCCAGCAGCCCCATCTGGAAGACCTGGAACTGGCTGTCACCTACTGCAAGGGAGCGTGCCGCTGGACAGACCAGAACAGACTTCACTAGTCTTAAGGGCAGATTCCTTTGCTCACATGCATGCCTTTTTTTTTTTTTTTAATTAACCAAATTTCAAAATATCCCGTCAAGTTTATGTAACTAAAAGATACTTTTAACTAGTAGACATACTGTGTATTAGAAACTAAACCATTTAAACATAGGCACACCTCAAGTTTATTATGCTTTGCTTTATTGCACTTCAGATATTTTACAAATCGAAGGCAAGACCCTCCACCGCCAAAGACTGCAGTTCAGTGCGGTGCTGGGGAACCAATCCAGTCCTGAGGTCTGCATGTGTACAAATCCTAATTTACCCATGACTGAAAAAAAATAAAACTTTCACCACTTGAACTGATTTGAAATATTTGAGCTTTTTGTCCTCTGATTAAATTTGGCTAATTGCTAAACCTTACTTGAACTGTTTCTAACTTAAAAATGTGTACCCATGCCTTTTACATTAAGGTGTATCATTTCATTAGAAACCTTAATTGAATGGTAGTGCATTTCATATATAAAAAACATCCTCTCGCCGAGATTTCTCAAGCCTATGCTTCCAAGGGATGGAATGGCTGCTTAAACGTATCCTGTAGTACTTTCCATACCCACTTTTGCTTTTAACCCTCCAACATACACAATTCTTTCCTATCTGAAGGCTACTTGTCAGGCCTGTTTCAGCTTTCAATTTCAGAACTGGGAAAACTTAAAAGACCATAAAAACTTGAATCATTTGTGGAGACACTGGCATAATTAATGTTGTCACCTTTTAAAACGTATATATGTATGCTTCAGGACGGAATAAAGTACCCATGATTACCAAAAAATATTTCCAGAGATCATGGATCAGGAACTAAGTTGAGCGTTTTGGTCCAATTTTACATATAACCAACAGACTCAATGAGGGTGGGTATTATGTCCATTTACACACAAAAAGTTAGAAACATTTTAAATCTGAACAGAATTTAGGGCAGGGAAATTTGATTGGGTTATTTTCAGTAACATCAGTGAAATTCAACATTCTCCACATGGGCAGCAAATCACACCTGTATACACAGTACTTGTGACTATCATCAAATCACATTGGATTACTATTGCCAAGCATCTCAAAATACCATTTATGTATCACTTTAAATTAGACTCACCACTAGTCCCCTTTCATGTTTTAAGGTACACCTTACTAAATCAAACTATTTTTGTATGTTCAAATCTATATTTAATGCATATGAAACCAGCATTTTAAGGGGTCAGTCAGCTGACATCACCAAACTGCCAAAGAACAGTGTGGCATAGAAAAAAAACTTGCTCAAGCTCACACAACTGAAGTTCTGCTTTAAATTTTTCACGGATAGGCAAAACCTAATTGCATTTCCCCCAGTACCTATTAAAGATGTAAAAAGTAACAGATTAAACCCATATAGGCCACCCAACACAAGATCATGAATTTGGAACATTTGATTTTTTTGTGGTGTATTGCAATGTAACATGTGCAGAAACCAAACAGGTTGGACACCCCTGTAAAGGATTGTATTCAACATTTGACAGACTGCATGGACTAATTTTGTAAATTCCCTTGCAATCTTCAGATATGGCTAACATTTGTAAAATACTTCCCATCCCTGGTAAGGCCTTTAACTACTCTTTGTAATGACTCCAGTGAAATCAAACCCAGTGAAATCAAACCATCTTTAAGTATTTTAAAGCTGTCAATACCCTTACACATATAATCACTTTCCAGGATGGATGAATTGAGCAAAAAAAACAAAAACAAAAACAAAAAAAAACACACCTCAACAGTGTGGTGGTTTCAAGGGGAGGCGTGCATGGATATTGAAGAGGATATATGGGGGATAAATGGTAATGGGAAAACACAATAAAACTGCTACGTATCTGTTACTTACCAATAAATTTTAGAAGTCAAATATAGGCCAATCCCTATTTCCTTACTAGTTTTCAGTACTGTCCCCATTTAGCTTGAATCTCAACACACCTTTGCCATTTTACCTGTTATTTGAAAATGTGATAGGCAATTAAGTATTACCTTACTCCCCTAACCCTTGGCACTTTCAATTCTACATCATGTCAACCTCATATACTACCAGGACCCCACTTTTGCAAGTTAACACTAATCCTCAAAAACCTGGTCTGTGATGAGTACATGTAGATTTCTAATTTATCTTGTCCAAACATTTTAGTTTCATGTAACAATATATTTTAATTTGAAAAACTTATTTTGCTGGAAATCAAATCCTGAGTTTTGGACTTCAGGTATTAAACTGGAATTATAAGGTACAGCTGCATATGAAATACCTGCCTACAGACATTTTAATACTTCATCATGTGTTGCAATCCTGTTAACATTGTCTCCACATGGCTGCAGTTCAAACTGTTTCACTTACCATGATCGTAACAGCCCTTAATGCTGAGAATCCATATACTTGCATTTTTCTCATTTATCAAAACCCCAACTCACAAACTTACCAAATTTTAATTGTCATTATCTTTAAATTGCAGTATGTTGCCCAACCCACCCTTAGAGCACAAAAATTCACTGCCATAAAAAAAAAAACACCCAGTACTTCCAACATCTGGATGGAATCCCCTTTCATCCCTCTCCCAAATTGTTTTTCTACCTGGCTCAAATGTCTTTTTAAATTTTTTTGACATCGCAGTTATCCTTAACTACATGTTTCCCACCAGCATCTCATACATTCTTTTAAAAGGCTTAAATCCTTAATTGGCAGTAAGCTTTAAAGGTACTTTTCCATGCTGATTTCCTAGGTCAATGTTTTCTACTGAACAGAATCCACTTTTAAAATTGACATGTAAAGGCTAATTCCTTCCATTTCCTATTATTTTATTACTCACTAGTAAACTATGTCATATTCACCTATAGCATTTAAGTCAAATGAACAATGTGAAGGGACAAAACAACACACACATTTCTAAAAATATTTTAATGAAAAAGTTATCTTTCTGTAAACATTTCAGTATCCTACAAACGAAACATTTGAATCCATTACAGACCACCTCTTACGTCTTTAAAATCAGAAAACATTGAAATTTAAAACTGTGAATACTTATATATAGCTAACAATTCTTACATTACCCCTGTACATTAGCATGCTTATTTCCCTATTTCATGACATCAAGTTGTGACTTCTATAGCTGAACTCCTAAAACCAAGGTTATCTCAATTATTTTAGTTCCTTAACGGTTTCGATTACCAAAGTTTCTTCTTTAGGACAGGTGGAAATGCTTTTTTAAAAAAGTATAGTGTAGAAGGCAGTAACCTCTGAGTTGCTTTGACAAAACAAGTTTGCCTGGACCATTTCCCTTATGAATTTCCTTATTTTGTTTACCGGTACCATGACTAAAAAGCATCATATTTTTTCATAAATGACAGTGTAACTGCGTTTAAATCAAATCACTTTATTTCGTAAAGAAATGAGATGGACTGAAAATAACAATGCCTTTAAAAATGTTTCCTTAGGAAATTTGCTCCACTAAAACTGTTATAAAGAAAATTTGTTAATTACCCTGTTCAACACTTCCAATTCTACAGTGATGTGTGGAAAGTCAGTCCCCATTTAGATAAACAGACACAACCAGTCACTCTGTGAGAATAAACTCTGGCAAACTCACTATTTAAGAATCTTAGTTATAATTCAGAAACTAGTTTTGAACACCCCTCAATTGTTTTTGTTTTTTGAAGTGAATTAATAGCAGATCTCAATTTTTGACAAGCCTTTTTTTGGGCAGCAATAACCCTTATGAAATCAGAATCTAATTTGAAGAGTGAGTTTAATTGTTCTTTGGAAAGTTGTCTTTTAAAAAGGAGTGTTAGTGTAATTAGGCCCTCAGTGCTCCTGCCGATCAGGTTAAATGACATTAAAAAAACCCCAAAAAACAAAACACACACACACACACAAATATCCTTTAGTCCAAATAACTCCCTGATTTGATATTCAAGATAACTTATATATGAAATCACTTGATGGAGACTATTTTGGTACTTTTATCATCTGGGAATTTAAAAGTTCACTCCAAGGTGTTTTTCCTAAAACAAGGATTGGCAGCTTTGTGTTTGTTATAATTAAGTCATGCTTACTACAAAAACCCCTGAAAAACCTAAGGTTATTCTCTTCCTTTCTCATCAAAAACTGCCTTTACCCTAAAGACACCAATGATGGATTCTGTACATGGGGCCACATCTCACTCAACATGAACACTCATGGTTATTACAGGGAAAAATTTTAAAAACTGTTTTAAAACATTTAGGATGTGGTTCCAAAATGAAGTCTGAGCTGAACAGCTTTGCTAATGAACCTAACAGTTTTAAGTGTATAATGGAAATTTGTAGGGAAACAAATGGTGTCATCAGGTTTTACTGTGAGCTACAAACCTTACCCAGCCAGAAACCTTCGTATTTAAGATGGTAGGAAAGACATTCCTCATTTAGGCAAGTAGGGTTCTCATTCAACCTGCAAATCAAAAAGATTACTCTTACCTTGCTTTACAAAAAAGTACTCTTTAATTAGTGAAAAAATTCAAATTCAAGCCTTACCTAATGCTTATTGCCCTTCCTTGCAGGTCTAAATGCTAGACCTACTGACTGTGGCAACTATCTCTCATTGATGTTCCAAAAGGCGAAGAGCTCCTTCCTGCTAGACTTTCTTCGATATTTCAGTTGTAATAAGCAGATTTAACTAGCTTTTGGAAAGTCGCTCACTATCACCATAGTATCTTATGCCTTCACTTCTCTGTAGTTGAAGCTCTTGCTGCTGCCTTGTCATTCTTTATTTATGCTGACTTGTCCATACTCAAAGGCTGCTGAAGTCCTGTCTTAGTGATTCTCCTTTGATCCACACCGTGCTTAAAAAGCACATCTTAGGTCCTTTAAAGCTGGTTAAATCGCTCTCCTCATGGCTTACTTTTCCACACCGTTCACAAGAACTAAGCTAATACAACTTATAAACAGGTCACATACACAATTTCACCTGCTTATAGGTTGCAAACATCAACTTACTGAAAATATTTTCACTATTAAACTAATTCCAGAACACAGAAAGTTCGTTAATGGTACAATTGACTTCATATGCCATTCAAGGATACTGTCAAGGTTGTGTCAAACAATTCCACAAACACAGAAATAAGAAATGTTAACCTCCCCCATTCCTTCAACCTGTATTGTATGAATAAAAGAACTTGAGACAATTTAGCTCAATTTTAATAAAATCTTTCCCAAGCATTATTCTGACCAGGTACCCAGGTTTAAGTTATAAACATTGACAGTGTCCATTTATATAATAACCACACTTGCAGTTGTGAAAGACTTAACCATTTTCTATTATTTGCCTATTTTCTATGCTGCTTATTCACATTCGTCCATTAACAAATGGCATGTTGTCTGTTACATTTATTGGTTTGTGAGTGTTTTCTGGAAAACTGTAGTATCTGTGAAGACCGATTTCCATGCTGGCATTGCATGCATCCAAATATTAATGCACAGAGGCACAGAATTAGAGCAACAAGAGAGCATATGCAAACACTAGCACGCCCCATTCCCCTTTTTATTGCTTCTTTTGCTTGGTACTTCTTAAAACAAAAATAAGAACCTTGAATTCAATGTTCAACTGCCAAAGAAATAACAACAGCAGGGCACATACTGAGGGCTTGAATGAAATTTTAAGCACTAGGCTGGCGCGAAACAGTAGACATTGATGTTTATATATATATGTACGACCTTATTATCTAAAGATCTTCTCTCCCACGGTCTTCCAAACAAATTACCTTATATCAACATGGTTTAGGTTCAAGCATACACAAAGAGTAACTGTGTTCTTTGGGATTTTGAAAAGAATTCAAGACAATCCATATTTAAATTCAGGCCTTTGGAAATTTGAAAGTTTACACTAAAGCAACTGTGGTTACACTTCTGCATTAAGTCACGTGTGTCAGTTTTATCTAGACTGCCCTTTGTTCCATCCAGTAAAATGTAGAGGGTACAAACAGGAAAGCATGCCAGCCAGTTAAGGGTTCAACAATGCGTGATTTTTATTCTCTTGCTTTGAGAGTTTGTATCAAAAAAATATATATTAAACCAAGGAAAATAACTGAAGATTCATGGGCCTCTTGTGCTTTAAAAAGGAAAAAAGGTAGCCACCAATTTGCTCAAATACAGCCGGCTTAGTGGTCCTGTATTTTGAGAAGTTTTTAAGAATGACTTTTAATGGAAGAAAGGAAAAACATCCACTACCTCTTTGCAAAATTAAAACAGAGGGCAGTAGACATTCTTTACACCCAAACAAAACTATGGCAGCAGTTCACATGTGACCAAGGTGAATGTAGAATGGAGATGTTCTAAACACAGCTAGGACTCTCAGCAAAGCTAACACACTAAAGTCATGATTACATTTTTGGGGGGAAAAAATGCACAAAACCAAATAGGAATTTTGAGATTTTTTCATTTGAAGGTAAACCTTAATGCTATTAAAGTCACAAATATGCTAATTTAAATACCCAATTCTATTTATCTAAAACACACAATGCAAACATACAAATATCTATTCTCTCCACATGTCAGAGCCCATTCATTTCATGGTTTGGAAATGGGGAGAATAGATTCCCCTTAAACTGCAAGTCAGCAGGTGTTTCTTTACAGTTAACTTTAGCAAAATTCATACAAAATAGTGATTAACAATGGTCTTCTTTACTTGTTAACTCACAAGGAAACACCTTCAAAACTGCATTTTGTTAAAGTTTCTGTACTAAAATGTAGAAAAACTGAACTACACAAATATTGAAAAGTTAAAAATTCCTTAATTTTTTATTCCTGGTACCACTACCACAATTTACAGGGCAATATACCTGATGTAATGAAAAGAAAAAGAAAAAGACAAAGCTACAACAGATAAAAGACCTCAGGAATGTACATCTAATTGACACTACATTGCATTAATCAATAGCTGCACTTTTTGCAAACTGTGGCTATGACAGTCCTGAACAAGAAGGGTTTCCTGTTTAAGCTGCAGTAACTTTTCTGACTATGGATCATCGCTCCTTCTGTGGCAGATTTTTACAGTTCCTCTAACGCATTTGGGACGACTGTCTCAAAGTAACCTGCAGCTTTCCTGACAACTCCTCGCTCTCTCTCCTGCTAAGAACTGTAGCCTGTTGAATAATACAGGATAAAAAAATTATTACACTCAGTGAACAGTTTCACATGTTTTTATCATCATAATAAAAACTTAAAAGATACCTACCCTTTTCTGTTGAGTTTTTAGAACCTTCTGCTACCATATCCACCACTTCCACCACCAGATCCATAACCACCTGGAAATATACATGTAGAGAATTTTAAAAGAAATATATATGACCTTATAAATTTAAAAGAGTTACAAAGAATTTTGATGGAAAAAAAATTACTTACCACCATAGGGGCTGCCCGAGCTTCTTCCACCAAAACTGCCTCCCCCCTTCATGGGTCCATAATTTGACTGCTGTTGTCCGCTATAATTTCCAAAATCATTATAGTTCCCACCACCACCACCACCACCGTAGTTACCTGAAATTACAAAGTTTTTAAATTGTGGTTGACTAATACAATTATTTCCCTCTTCTACTATATGTACATCATCTTAACAATCATGGCAGCATCCTCTACAACACATGCAAACCTTTGAAAAGAGACTTTACAGAGCTACCAAACTCCTCACCAGAGGCCCTCTAGTAAAACTCACACATTGGTAAGAAAAGAAAGAGTGGAGGTGGTCCCAAGAGCATTTATCTAGACAACTGTCAAATTTTGCTTGATTCTACACTCTACTACACATTCTCTCCTTCATACCACTAATGGCATCAAAATTGTCAGTTTCATTCACTTTAATTCTGATGCAATATAACTTTTAAATCAGTGACAGAAGGTATTCTAAGTTAACAGTTAATACAGTCCAAAACTCAGTACATTCGTAACAAAACTCTTAAACGAGTATCAGAGTAATGATGCAGTCTTCCTTATAATCTGTACGACACATTCAGATTCAAAGTACTCTCATCAATTAGACCCCAGATGACATCCTATTCATTTTAACAATTTTCTGCTCCCATCTGCCCAGTTTAGAGGTGCCCAGAGCTAGGTAAAATTCTGGCAATAAATACATTACCAATAAACGTTCATTCCAAGTACAAAATGAATAGTTTAATACACTGTATCAGTTTACTAAATAACAAGCACATTAAGAAAATTCAGTTTAATTATCTATGGACTGAGCTTCCTCTAATTTTACACAACACAAAATTCGACCAAATGCTACATTTTAACACTTTTAAACATCTGTAATATAACTATATAAACAATTAACATTTAAAACAAGTGAAAACTTACCACCAAAATTTCCCCCTTCATTGTAACCGTCATAACCACCACCACCATATCCACCACCTTGGTTTCCATATCCCGGTCCACCACCACCATAGCCTCCTCTACTACTGTAACCAGGTCCACTGCCATAGTTGCCACCTAAAAGAGAGAGAGAGAGGGAGAGGGAGAGAGAGAAGAAAAAAAGGTCATATACACAAATGTATAGAAAGTAAAGTTATTAAACTACATAGTTTATATTACATTTAAGCCACTGGAAAGCAAGCCCATAAACTGATTTAGCACTTAAAGCCTGATAACAGAACCAAGAATCTGGGCTAGTTAAGAATTTAAAATAAATGCTGAAATATATTTTGATATTAAATTTTTTCAATTCATTAAGGAAAGTAAACAGTCTCCTGAGATATAACAGCAGCTTGATTAACTAGTATAATAAACTTAATCAGCCAAAAATAATTAGCTAATATTAAATCTTTAAAGGAAAAAAGTCATCGCCTATATTAGTTCAGAAGCATACTTTAACCATTAAGCAATTCAAGTTCTGACTGAAATTAGAAAAATTAAAATACTTAATTTTCAATAGAGCACAGAAAACAAAGTCAAAATATCAGTTTTTTAAAAAACTTACCATCACCTCCAAATCCATTATATCCACCATCACCTCCTCCATAACTACCTCTGCTGCCACCTCCACCATAGCCTCCTGAGGAAAATCAAGGTATGAGTTACAAGTATAACTGAATGTTACACTAAATTACAATAAATTTTAGGCAGACACATACTCAGATCTAAGATAACCACCCTACCTCTTCCACCAAAGTTTCCACCACGGCCAAAGTTACCTCCACCACCTCCAAAGTTTCCTCCACGACCCATAAAGTTTCCAGATCCACCTCCACGGCCTTTAACACAGGTAAGAAAAATCTTTAAGAATCTTATAAACACAACTCACGTTTACTGTTTAAGTACATATGGTACTACTCACCTCTTTGTGATCCAGCAGACTGCATTTCTTGTTTAGAAAGGGCCTTTTTCACTTCACAATTATGCCCATTAATAGTGTGGTATTTCTGAACTAAATTTTTTTGAATCAAACAAACAAAAGTTATTTGATGTTTGAAAAAGCAAATATAAACGATATCCTTCAGCACTATATAACATTAAAATAGTATCAAGAAAGTAGTGAATTCTGAGTGTGGATGAGGGAATGCTCTGGGATGTTAATGTTTATTTTTGATCTGGATGCTGGCTACACAAAAGTGTACTCACTTCACAAAAATGGAACCCTATACTTTATATGCCATTATGCATATAATGCAATATTATAGAGTAGAAAAAGCCCATTTAGAGTAGAAAAGGCCACTTCTACTTTCTTATTAAAATTCCTACTTACCAACAATTTTATCAACTGTATCATGATCATCAAAAGTTACAAAAGCAAATCCTCTTTTTTTCCCACTCTGCCTATCTTCCATAACTTCTATGGTTTCAATCTTGCCATACTTTTCAAAGTAGTCTCTCAAATTATACTCTTCTGTATCTTCTTTAATACCACCAACAAAAATTTTCTTCACTGTTAGATGGGCACCAGGCTTTACAGAATCCTGTAAGTACAAAACATGTAAGAAACAAACACCCAAAACAATTTTTTACAACATTGTAACATGTTATACAACATGGAATTAAAATACCTCTCTAGAAACAGCTCTCTTTGGTTCCACTACACGCCCATCAACCTTGTGTGGTCGAGCACACATGGCTGCATCCACCTCCTCAACACAAGAGTAAGTGACAAAACCAAAGCCCCGGGAACGTTTTGTTTGGGGGTCTCTCATCACCTAGAAAATAAAAAATGTAAAGCATTGAAACACCCCCCCACAAGTCCTCCACCCCTTTCTAGAATCTTTGTTTCTTTAGTAACTTACCACACAATCTGTGAGAGTGCCCCATTTCTCAAAATGTTCTCTTAAACTATCGTCTGTAGTTTCAAAGCTCAAACCACCAATAAAGAGTTTTCTCAACTGCTCTGGTTCCTTTGGATCGTGGCCCTAAGAAAACAAATCAATGCATTTTAATCATTTCTTTTAGTAGGTGAATTGCTAAGATGCACAAGTGTTTACTCCACTACAAATAAACTATCAAATTCTATAGCATTAATACTTTGTTCAGTTAAAAACTGGAAGAGGATCATACAAATCTCACCAGTTTATTAAAGGAATCAAAATACCAAGAAAACCTATAGTCAGCCTTTCAAATATCGGCACCACCTTCAACTAAAATGAGGTCCAAGGGAATCCTAGAATCAAAAGCCCCTTAATTTCAAGCCACAAAAGTGCCTGAGGACAGATTTCAGATGATGCTGAGAAACTGCTTTATGAGAAACCAAAGTGCTGTAGAAGCAGTGTTTCATCCATGCCATTTCTTTTCCTGTTCACCACTTAGCTTTAAACCACAAAGCTGTGTGAGATGCAACTTAAGTCTTGAATGGAAAATTTAAAGAAAACCCACTGAGTACAAGCAAGTCAATATTAAAATAGGTAATCCTATTTAAAAAAAGGCTAATCTCCACCCCCCCCAAAACAGACAAAAAAATCCATTGTTCTTGATAGTTTCCTGTAATCAATTTTAACAGATTATGTGCAGCATAATTACCTACGTGCACTTGTATCACTTGGCAAAATTTTCACATACATTTTATAGGATCACAAAAAAGGCAAACTGCAGTTAAAATTTATGCATGAAAAAAATGACTTTTTTAGATGTGGACTGAACAGTTACACAATTTAACCAGCTTTTTAATTAAATTCCATAAGTTGCCATTTAATCCATGCATTCACATAGCGTTCATCCAAAATCTTTACATAAAGGGGCTCATATTTACATTCTAATGTCTTCCTGTGTCTTCTAAAGGTACAGATCTTAAGGCACTTACTATGAAGAAACTGTCCCCTGCTAGAAAAAAACGTTAAAAGATGAATAACCTAAAGCATTAATTCTCTTACTTTTTATCTTTTCAAGTCCTGGTTAAACGCATTTAATCGGCAACACCAAACTGACTTAACAAACAAACGAACCCAACCATACCCCACATAAAATTATCTCAAGCACATGAAAACTTCATCTGTGGCTGCAGTACTCTAAAACACACACACAAGAAAGTACAGCCAGAACCGTGGGGAAAAGAAAGATAAAATTTTCAGCCCTGACCAGGAAACTCAGAGCACACCTCCCGATATACCAAGGTTGCAGGTTCAATCACCTGTCAGGGAACATACTACAATCAACCAACGAAAGCAGCAGTAAGTAGAACAAATTGATGTTTCTCTCCCTCAAATCAATAAACAAAATTCAACCTTTACTAGGTACCTCAGTAAGAGCATTTTCCCTATATGCCAACCCACGATTGTGGGCTCCATCGCTGGACAGAACGCACATTAAGACTCAACCAGTGAATGCATAAATAAATGGAACAAATCGAGCTCTCCTTCCTCTAAAACCCGTAAAAAAAAATTTTTCCCAAGCTCCCATTTTACCATGGGGCAAAGACATGTATAATTTTAAGCACTTTAACAAGAACAGATCAGTAAGTATTACAAAGCCGGAAACTTTTTAAAAATTGTATTTCAAATGAATGCTGACAGTTAAAATCTCGTCGTCTTAAGTCTGTAAGGCCTATGCAAGCGCGAACATAACTGCAGGAAAAGCACCGCGCCCTAAGATTCCAAACCATTTGCGGCATTTTCTGCCAGGCCGCCTCCTCCTCCTTCCTTCCAATCCCGCGCTCTTTCCCAGCGGCAGAGCTAGGCGGCGGCCATTGCGGGCCAATGCGCCATTTCGTAACGCGGCAGCGGATCAATGTCAATGTGGCCGCCGCCCGCCTGCTCGCTCTCCCGGATGTGCCTGCTCGTCCCCTCCCCTCCCCCACCACCTCCTCTCAACCGCTCCCGCCCAGGCCCGCCATGCCTCCTTGGGCCTCAAATACGAGGCTGCGCGGCGGGTGTACCGGCTCCCCTCCCTGCTTCTCCCCAGCCACGCCGCACCTCCGAAGGACCCCCTGTGCAGCCAAAAGAGAAAACGAGGCGGGTGAGAGACCCCGAGGAGGCCTCAGAGGCGCGTTCCCCTCCCCCTCCCACCACCCGCCTCAACGCAGAGCGCGGGACCGCCGACCAGTCCACCCGGCCTCCCCGCTCCCACCAAACCAGGCTCCCTACGCCGGCCACTACCCATCAACCCCCCCTCTCTCCCCCTAATACCTCCTCCCCCCGGCGGCGGCGGCGACGGCCGGAGTCGGGCTGGGGGCGACCGGGCGGCGGTTTTACCTCCATTTTGAGACCGGACTCGCCTCTTCCAACTCGAGTTCAATATGGGACCGAGAGGAAGAGGCGGAGCCAGACGTCACGTGACGCGCTTTCCGCGCGCCGCCGACCTGGTAGAGGAGGGGCGAGTTACGGGAGGGGCGTGGCCAAATGGGCGCGAAGAGGGACTGGATGAGCGGGTTGGCGGGCGGAGCGTGGGGGCGTGGCAGGCCGCGGGAGCGCGCGCTTCACCAACATCCAGTGCGGCGGCGCCGCCCTTGCCGTGGTTCGCGCCCTGGCGGCTTTAGGGACGTCAGCTTAAGTTCAGCCAATGGCGTGCGCACACGTCGAGAGAACTCCGCGTGACCGCGCGTCACCGGGAAAAAGGCCTTTCCTTTTCTCCTCGCGCTTCATTCCCCTCCCCCACGTAGCCTTCGCGGTCTAAGTATCCGAATTCATTGCAACAAGAGTGCCTGTTCAACACTTCAGTTTTATCCTGGACTCTAAGGTTGCTAGAAACACTTAGGGGCCCCTCGGCTTCTCCCTTGTTTTCAAAAATGCCGGGAACCAGTTCTGAGACTGCGGCGCCCACTCAGAGGGTCCGTACTAAAAAATCCCTTTGATACCCCTGTATATGAATCGTGGGCTCGTTGGAAAGGCCTCAAAACGCGGCTGACATGCTGAAATTTTACCCTTAAGGAGCTGAGGCAGGACTGGTCGAGGTCAGTTCATTAGGTACTCACTGATCTCAAATCTGTTGGCACTAGTTTTTTAACATTTTCTAGATACTGTGAAAAGAGCTGAAGCAACTTTTTTGGGGGCTTGAAATTTAGGGAATTGAATGATACACAAGACTTTAAAAGTAGGGTTGCCAGGTATGCTACCTATTGGCTAGTGATCTTTACCTTAATGGTTCTAATTGTGTTGTGAAGAGGAATAGATGAGATCAATTAGAGACTTAAAAACTAGAGATGTGATCCTTTATCCGCCTAAGTGATTTTAAATCATTTGTCCTTACTGAACTTCAGTTTTGTTTTTTAATGAAAATGGGGATAAGAGTGGGTAATCTTCAACACCTAAAACAGCCGTCAATCATTGGATCCAAGTCTAAACAAAGATGCTGATAAAAAGTTACAACAATTGACGAGTCTCCCTCCCCTGCTAAGAAATGCTTTGTATTTTAAGGTAAGCAGTCCATAGAAAGCTCCTATAAAACTGATCAGGTCTTCCCTTGCAAAGATTAGAAATTTAATCAATTACTTGTAAATTGTTTTTAAAACAGTTTGTGTTAAATGAGGAATAGTCTGTTTGGGCCTTGGAAAAGGGGAGCACAAAACTTGTTAAGAACTTGTTAATGTTTATCTAGCACTGCTCAAGTGGAACAGGTGTTTCATTTGCCAGACATGAACAAAAAGGTACTTTGTTCCACGGCAGAAACCAGTCACCAGTCCTTAATGCAACTTGGATGAAATAACTCTCCAAACTAGCTGCCTCCTGTTGCTCTGATTCCAGTATCACAAGCAAACTGTTATGTACTCTACTATTTAAGCACTTTTGATACCCAGCAACAATACTCGAGTCTGGGGAAATTTATGCCCTTAGGGTCTCATTAGCCTATCACAGCTTGGGCCCTTGACCCGTGTGGCTCAGTGGGTTGGAACTGTTGTCCCTTAAACTGAAAGGTCTCTGGTTCGAGCCCAGGTCAAGACACATGCACGGGTTGTGGGTTTGATCCCCAGTGGGGATAGGAATGAGAGAGGTCAACCCATTGATGTTTCCTTCTGGAATGGATGGTTTCTCTCTTTCTCCCTCCTTTCCTCACTCTCTAAAAGAGATGAAGGAAAAAGGAGGGTGGTGCGCTGGCAGGCCTCAGCCTTCCAGCCGCCCCCCCCCACCCCACCCCCCGCCGCCGCCCCGGCTGGTGTGGCTCAGTGGATTGAGCACCAGCCTGATAAAATCTTTTTTAAAATGTCACACACATCAAGGCTTCATGAGTTTGATCACTATGAAGTAGTCACAGATAACTTGATTTCTGATTTAGTTCTGAGTATGTAGAAACAAGTTAAAAGGCTTCCTAAACCTTAGGAAGATGGTATTCACATCAAAGTACCCAGTGAGAAACTGCAAAGGTGATCATGAAAAACTGATCACATGGCTTCACATTATGGCATGTTGTAGGTGTTTTCTAATGAATTATTTTTAATCTATAACTTCTGTTATTATTCTTCTTTGAATTGTATTAAATTCTTATATTACTTTGAGAAATGATGGGGAATGGGATACTAAGTACTTCTATCCAGGAACATGCTATGTCAGTCTATTTATTCAGATCTTTTGTCCTTGAGTAAAATATGGATTCCTCCCTTTGGATTCATCCAAATTTATTGTTCATCCAGACTCTGTGGTTTTTAGACATTAGCTATTTTCCTGCTTTTTTCTAAGTTTATCCCCAGTTCTGTGGCCACATAGTATCTCATACAATATCCTTGCTTGAGTTCTTGACCCTGTTGAACACAAACTTGATCCTCAACTGCTGTCTATCCTTGTAGCCCTGGCTGTCTTGGAAATGTGTGTGTGAGAGAGAGAGAGGATGTGGGGTGGGGAGCAAGGGACAAGGATCTTAAGGTAGGATGGAGTGGCAGACAGATTTTATAAATAACCTGTATTAGGCCCTGTCAACTTCTTTCATGTCACAGCGCACACAGAAAACAATTTTTGTGCAGCACATGAAGTTACATAAATGAGATTTGGAGGCATCTAAATGATGGTTAAAAACAGTTCATAACTTTCTTTAAATTAGATAATTATGCTAAAATAAAATTCAATGCATTTTAAAATAAAATAGAATGTATTAGAGAAGATATTAAAATTACATTTGAATAAAACTTTCAAATAAAATTTTTCCACATTTTTTAATGATTATCTTGAACTTGTTCCTATGAATGAATATATTTTCATATTAGGTTTTATAGTTTGAATGGCTTTATGCAGTTTCCGATCTCAACTTTTTAATGATAAACTCATATTCTGAATAGTAATGATCAGTGAGGGACTGATCACATATGTAGGTAATAAAATATTTAAAACCATATTGTTTTAATTCAATGATTAAATGATTTTGAATACCATCTTTCAAAATTTACAATTGTAGTTACATTTAAGGAATAACAACTCTTCCTTTTCCTTTATTGACAAATGTAATGTTGCAATTTCATAGGATAATGCAAATGGATACCAAACCAATAGTACATTTTTATATCAGGATTTCCACCATGAAACTGTAGCTTTGAGAACATGTATGTATTGTCAACAGTTAGTCTGAGTGCCATTAAAAGAGTGCATTGCCACAAGGGGATAGAAATAGCCACTATATGTAAAGACAAATAAGGGCATTCCCCGGAGCTGAGCCCACCAGGAACCCCACTCAGTCGAGGCTCCTCTCTTAGCCCCTGACAGATTACTCCTGGAGCTGTATGTTGTCCCCCTTGGGCACATAGAACACAAACTTGTGCATTGGCTCCATAATGTCTGGTCCATGCTGGGCCTTGCAGATACATGCCCACGTGGCAGGCATCCTCGGCCATGCACAGACAGCAGAATTTTAAGTATTGGTTGTTGTTTACAGTGGTTGGCATACACCCAGACTGCTCGGCACTGCTGCCCTGAGGAACCTTAAACAAAGCTGCTCATGGCCAGTGGTACTGGCCCAGGGGTCTCTGGCTGCCCCTGACCCCTCCTCTCACCTGCCCCAGTGCTGGAGGGATCAGTCTCTCACCCATATTCAGGACACTAGCATGCCGTAGTCCACGAGTTAAGAAGCACTGTCTGGATTATATGCTTCACCTTATGAATGAGGAAGCTATAACACAAGTCAAAGGAACTGATTTTTTCCAAGATTAATAGCAAATTATGGCAGATTCAGAACTAGAAGAAAAAGAATAGAAATTGGATGAAAATAGTTTGGACAGGAGGATAGTAATTTTTAGAAGGGAAAATTGTAATAGGCTATAAACTTTGTTATTTGCCACTATATTCAGAATATGCCAATAACTTTATTTTTCTAAAATCTTGTTTTTTAAAATGAGTATATCCTATTACATGGATTTGATCACAGTCAACAACTTAGTATATATTCTTTTATATCTCCTTCTATGCCTAATCAATATTTTAAGTATGTATGAATATGTATATATAGCCATATTGGTTTTATTTATACAAAAAAATATATGAAACTACCCAGAATGATCTGAAATTTCCTTTTTACTCCCATTTCATAAACTATTCATTCATTGAACTCTTACTATGTGCTTGGCAATGCTGGGCCCTGGAAATTATCATAGTCACTTACATTATTAAACACTTAATATGTGTCTTGTACTGTTCTGTGTTCCTTATGTCCCTGATCTCATTTAACTCCCCTAACAACCTTAGGGATAGATCCTGTTATTCTCATTTTTTAGGTGATATTAAAAGGGAAATCCTCAGGCCAATATGGTGTCTCTTTGTGCCAAAAGCCCATGATACCAACTCTAAATTTAATATTTAAGTATTTGTGGTTTCAGCCTCTCCTTGGAGTAGAATTTAAAACCAGTCTGGAATTTCCTGATCCACCCAGTGAGATAATCTGCCTGATGAGACCCTCCTGCCTCTCTTGAAGATAATCCTCGAAGATAGTCCTTGCCTGGGATAATCCACCGTTAACTTCTTAGTCCTGACCTCTTTCTGCCTCTGAAAACTTTCCATTTTATACATCTCCGAGAAGCACCCATATAGTTGCCAGAAAGCCAATCAGATTAGAATGAATTTTGTTTGAGTAAACTAGAATTTAGGGAAGTTAAATAAATTTATGGAGGTCGTATAGGTCACACAACAAAGAAACTGAATGGCATGCCATAGCTAGCTGCGTTTACATTTTAATATTCTTGAAAGTAACAACCTTTTCTTATAACATCTTTTTGTCATGCATCTGCATATTCACTACGTTTTTTCATCATGTCTGCAGAAACTGCTACAGTGCCTGGATTGCAGTAGGCAATTTGTGTATTTGTTGTTGAATAAATGAGTGAATGAATGATGAATGAAATGTTTGGAGTTCCCTGCAGTGCCCTC